GAGTTAGAAGAATTCAACGATGAATCAGAATTCTCATCTATCTTTGAGGCAGGTGATTCACTCTGGTGGTCTGTGTTAAGATTTGTTATATATGGCACATTGCTAGGTTCTACATTAACAGGGTTTTGTTCTATTTCAAAGGTTGATATAGGGGAACTTGCACTAATATCAGAACTGGGCAAATTCTCTGAGCTGGTTGTTGTTTCAGGAGCAACAGATTTGCCATCAAAATTTGATTCATATTGCAAATTTTCTTGAACAGACTCATTATCAACAGTATCACTGACCCTAGTAGCATAATCAACACTGTCTACAGAGGTCTCCGTATTGACACCAAGTTTATTTTCACTGGGTGCTTCATTAAGTTCTGGAGATGAAGAAAGATCCGTTTCTATACCTTTCTTGCTTTCCTCGCTTTCACTCTCCTCAACTTTATCATCCTCCTTGTCAGAGACCAATGAAACTTCCTGCTGAGTTGTGAATGGTTCCATCTCTTGTTTTGGTCCTGTATGTAACATTATAATTAAGCATTGGATTGGTTGAACGCCAAGGAGAAGAGAAATTCAAGAGATACATACATTCTAGTAAAGCCCATTTATTTATTAAGCACATGACATTCAGACCAAAAGATTAGGCAACAGTAGCCAGAAGATTGTGATAGCATACAATTGGAAATCTGTTCTTTCTTTCATTTCATTTTTTTAGCAGGAAAAATAACATCTGATGATATAAAGTTTTCATATTTTTTTATCAGCACTGGTCATTTAAATTCTTCTAAGAATAGAGGCAGCCACTTACTGGAAGTGCTCCGCTTGCTTAAAGACAATGCTGCAAAGGTAAGCCCCGCAAATAGGATGACCCCAGCTACTCCAGCTCCAACCAAGCCTGAAAGCAAAATACTTCCAAAGTGTAATTAGTCCATAAAAAGGCACAAATGAAACCTTTAAAACCATTCTCACTTTCACACGAAAATGCAGCAATAATAATCCAACAAAAGAGTTCACATACAAAGCAAGTATCAACAGAATCAACAGCAACAAAGATAAACACAATGCCATTCACTAATATGATTACTATTAAGAAACTTTTCCTCGCACCCTGAAATTAACACCCTTGAAAGAGCTACTACATTTCACACTTTAATATAAAAAACCCATCATATTCATTATTTATTTCCCAAAACTACCACAAAAACAACAACAAAAATGAAACATGTTGCCTCCCTTTATTCCAAATTTTCTCATTTGCAGTTAAACATAGACAATTGCATATTCTAAGTAAGGAAAAAAAAACACGAACTTTAACCCACTCGAGAGAGCTACATTTTGCATTACAAGCTTAGAAAAAATGAAACCCATCATTCATTTCTCAAAATTAACAAAACAAAAGGCCAAAAATCAAAATTTGCACATCTTTACCTCCAAACCATTTCTTTCTCTGATTCTCAATAGACTCATCACTCCCATTATCCGAATCAGTCCACGAACTCGACACGACCCACGAACTCCCATTACGTCGTGGTTCATTTTGAGACAGAAAGAGTAAGCGAAGGTTACTATCAATCTTCTTCTTCCTCACACAAGCCCGTGAGAGTGTTGCAGGTGATCGTCTACAGTTATGGCAGTTGAAGGCTAATCGAAGCTGGAGAGAGGTCGGAGAACACGTGGCAGCCATTGCTGATACCATATCTGGGTTTGGGTTTAATTATGAAATTATGGAGTGAAAATTAGAAAATGGGGATAGGAGAGAGGTGAATTGAGATTGAATTTGAAAGAGGCTTTTAGTGTTGTTTGGTTGTTGGGGAACAAAATGAAGAGAGAGAGAGAGAGAGGTTTCGGAGTAGACTACGGTGAAAACGAGAAGACAAGGGCGTGCAATCTGTTATGGGATTATCCCATTCAAGTTTACTAGTTATTTGACATTGCGGATCGAATATTTTTTTGTTTTTTCTAATGAAAAACTGCATTTTTTAGAATTTTTTTATATAAAAATCTCTATTATAAATTAAATAAATTATTTATATTTTTAAATAAATAAACTAATTAATTAATTAATTAATCAGTCAAATTCGAATCATATGTTATGAACTTATTTAGATTCCATATATTTTTTTAAATAATTTCTTATTTAAAATATTTTTTTGTAAAATTAAGAGCATTTCAAATATTAGGTTATTTATTTGAAAAATTAAAAATATCAAACTAAAACAAATTATATTGCATTGTTAAAAATTAAAAAAAAATAAAAAAATAAAATTAAAAAAATTAAGTAAGAAAAATAAATAAATATTTAATTATAAATAATCAAATTAAAAAAACAATAAAAAAATATTTTTTTTAAAAAAAAAAATCTAAACGCATGAGCTTGGTTGCCACAACAAGCTTCAGCCTCAAAACGCATGGGCTTGGTTGCCACAACAAGCTTCAGCCTCAAAAAAAAAAAAAAAGTTTAGCTTTAGATTTTGAGAGGCTAATAATTTATAATTTTAAAAGCTTAAAAGATGAAATCAAACATTTCACCACAAGTTTAAAACAACCATTTTTATTTATTGTCTCTTTTTTACTTTAATCCTCTATATTTGAATTTTGTCATCACTCAATACATTTGCTTTAACTTGCTATTAATTTGGACATATAAATATGTGATTTAAAAAAGAAGAAAATGGACAAAAAAAATTATTATAGAAATTCATTGTAATTTATCTTTATATGAACAATGACACAATAAACAATCTTTTCATCACCATGTTTTTTTTTTTTTTTCAGATAGTAGTTAATAAATAGGTAATAAATCAATAGCTATTCTATAGTTAATGACTAGATTATCAAACGATAAATGAACTCACATGATAATAAGATAAATTATAGTAGAACTATGAGTAAAAGTATTTAGCATATGCAATTTTATTATTATTGAAGCAAAAATGATTCTTATTTACATTTTATATTATATTAACTAGGTTTTTTATCCACTCTATATTATTGGTTGAATTATTGTTTTTATAATCTTAAAAATATATAAAAATATTAGGAAGGCTGGACTTTGATGAAACACTTTAAAAATATTAAAGTAGTGCTATATTGGATAATATGTTTTTAAATATCAAAATAGCAACACACTAAATCAATATTAATATTAGTCGACTATGTTTAACCCTTGGAACCCTTGATCGGGGCATTAGCGTGTGATCATAGAATCCAAATCAAAAGTTAGGAAGCTCAATTCTAGTTGAATAAATATTCAAGTTTTAAATGAAAATAAAGAACTAAATTAAAATAAAAAATAAAAAATAAAAAATGATTCAAGTAAATCTTCATCAATTGATCTAAACCAAATTGGTTCTAACATAAAAAAGGATGTTAAAGCAATGTCAATGTTTTTAAAACATAAAAAAAATTTAAAATCGAGTCACTGACTTGTCTAAATCTATTAAGTCGAGTTAATTTAATAATATAATTAAATAAATTAGAAAAGAATAAAAAATTAAAAGACCTGAAATTACATGAATTGTTTTCAAAATTAGTAGAAAATCATATAAAAAGCCAAAAATAATAATTATAAAACCTAATTTTTAAATAAATAAAATGTTAAAGAATAAAATAAAAAAATAATATTAAAAAATAAAACAAATGGAGATGTTAATATACTAGATAATGTTTTTTAGAAAAGAAATATTAAGTAATTAATTTAATTTAATTCAAAAGGAAATCTTTAACAATAAGATGAATATAACAAAAAAACAACAAATAAAAAGAACTAGGATAACCCATATAATTATTAATGTTAAAAAATAAAATAAACAAACCTAATTAAAAAGCTTATCATTGCAAAAATATAATAATTTTAATTATAAAAAAAATCATAAAAAGACGGGGCCATACCCAAATAATTCTACAATGATAAATGGAATCGTGAAAAGCTTCGTCTATCCTTCAAGATTAGTTCATTGGTTTTGCTAATGAAGTGAAAAAAACATTAATTTATTATTATAATCCACGTTAAATAAAAACAAAGCATAAAAAAAAAAAAAAAAATATACGATGCTTTTCTCACACCAAATGGTAAATAAAAACAAATATACGATGCTTTTCTCACACCAAATAGGTTCTGCCTGCAGAGAATGTTATGTGTATAATGTTTGGTTATATATATAACATTGAATTGAATATATAGCTAATAGCATTACTGAAAATATACTAAATAAACTGGGTTTTTTACCCTGAATATCCTCCTTTTTCAAAATTAATGAAAATTCTTTATATATATAAATTAAATGTTATTTTCTAATTAAACTAAATATTAAAGGATAAAATTAAAAATAAAATAAAATAAAAAACAAAAATAAAACAAATGAATTTTTGTCCCGGTGTGGCTAAGATATTTTTTTTTTATAAATTTTAAAAAATATAGATGATAACATATTAGATAATATATTTTTTAAAACTAATATTAAACAACTCGTGTAATTTAATTAAAAATATTTTTTCAGAAGCTAAATCTAACAAGTAACTAAAACTAAAATAAACCTAGAAAATCGGATAATCTTTAAAATTAGTGAAAATTTCAATAAAAAACAAAAACAAAAACAAAAAAAAACAAATACAGCCTTCAATTAAACCAAAAAAAAAAACTACATCAAATAATATTTGATCCTTTATGTTCAAGGTTGGAATACAAATCTGATCAATTAAAGAATAACAGAAGATCTCGTCAAGTCCCAAAATAATCCTTTATGTTCTTGTAAGTGCATGTAATTGATCAATTAATGATGTGATTATCTTTCAAATCTCCGAAACAATCCTAAAATTAGTGTAGATATAAGTCATGCAATAGTTGTAATCCAAGTTTAAAATCAAGGGACCTCTTCTCGTATGAGAGTAACATAGTGTAAGAAAAAAATGTGCTCCACTCTGCCTCTCTCCCTCCCCCTTTCTCCTCCTATTTTCACATCCATTTGAGGATCTTTCTTTTCATCGATTGCTTGTAGAAGAAGAACAATAAGATAAATTTCCTTCCCTTCTTTCATCTCTGACATTTGAATTGGTTGTGCGAAGAGTTAAATACAATTAAGTAAACATCAAATTGTTGATTCTCTTGTTTAAGTTTTTCATGGATTGAATTTCCTGGTGAATTTACAACTTTTTGCTTGCCCACAAAACTCCATGGAGCAAACCGCAGAGGTGGGCTCAAACTTCTATTTGCCGTGCTTTGTCATTGACATTAGACAAGCTTCCTTCCCACAACTCGGGCAGTTCCCTCCTAAACCAAGAGACAACAATAACAGGTCCAAGGGTTGAAGGCACCTGCATTCACCATCAAGCAAATCAACCAAAAAACAAGAAAGGAAAAACTCTGAGAAATACAAATATGTTTTTTGACCTCTTACATCCAGAAGCTCAAAAATAAGAAAAAGTTGTGCAATCCAACACTCAAGCATAGGCAGGTGTATTCCAACTACAATATTCAAGCAACAAATAAATACATTGCCAATAGATGTACCAGATAGAGAAGTGCAGGTTGGGGTGAGCGAGTCAGGACACCAGCTGCTAAGGCGATTACCAATCCAATGGCATACCCAGGAAGAGCATACCATATATATTTTTGTCCCTTGGAAGAATATAAATCCAAGAGATTCACCGGATCTCTGCTCTTTCGGTAGTCAAAACAAAGAACTAAAGCTAGAAGCATGGCAGGAATAGCCTGCAAGAACAAAATTATTGAAATAAAATGTCACATCTTTCAATATTTTCTCCAAAAAAGTACAACATGCCAAAATCATATTCTCCATTTAGAAAAAACCTAGTAAGATTTTGGTGTGCAAGCATGAGTGTGCAAATAAATTTAACGAATATCTTTACCAAAATGAAGTTGCAAAGGATTCATAACTTCATTTTCCAAGCAAGCAGGGCAGTAAGATCATTATTCATAACAGCTTAGCTTTTTGTCACTACAATAAACAATAACTTGGAGAGAGAGAACAACATTGACAATCAGTTAGTGGAAGGCCTGTGAACTGGAAAGGTAGAAGAAACAAGGTATAACCAGAGGCGTAATGATTATGAAGATTTTTGACCAATGGGTCCTAAAGATCTTGTGTATTCATCATTTTACATCTACATGCATAGTAAAATGATGTAGAACTATGGGCTCCTATGGATACGATCTGACCTGACGATGCAAAGAGTCTTCCTATGATGAATGAACTAAAAATTGTATGCATATCCAATTAAGGTATTAGAAGCTGCAGATCAACGACGGACCAAGCAATCCAAGAACAGGATGCACCAAGAAAATATAGAGAACTGATATTTAGCATGATTGGACAATGGACGGCTTAGTCACCATCTTCAACAAAAGAACGCGTAACAAAGATCAGTCCATTGGAGGGGGATTGGGGCTAACACTATACAGATGCCGTGGTCAATGTTTTCAAACAGAACAGAAAATCAAGTCCCAAAATGACCAACAGTCCATCTATGAAAACTTTATGCAGAAACTTTGATGCAACCACTTCGCTGCATTTTGGTGGGGGAAAGGCGCATTTCTTATTGACTTGAAAAATGCCATGCAAGAACACTAACAAGAAATCCTATCATACCATGTCCCCAAGGCCAAGCATCATGAAATCTGTAGTATTTCCTCCTGGAGCTGTACTACTGAACAAATTTCGGGGGAAGACTATTTTCACAGGCAACTCAAGCTTCTTTGTAATCAATTGCAACCCTGGAAGACTCAAACTATTGGCCACTGTATGAACAGGATTTGATGCTTGCTGAGTCGCCACTGACACCATGACATTGGCACCAAAAAATCTCTCTGAGTAGAACACCCAGAATATGTCATATACGAACAAGCATGCGAGGAGCATTGCACATATTTTGATGTTTGGAAGGCGTACATGACTCACAAATGCAATGCAAATTGAAATACCCAACAGATTGTTCAATATCCAATGCCCAGATACAAGCCAGGCTGCAACAGTAAGAGAGCATGATAGCAACAATAACCCTTCAATTCTTGTAAATGACTTTGCACAGCAACGGGACACAAATGGGTCTGCCAAGCCATAATGTGACTTTATATAGGCAACAAAAGGAGAGAGGCAGAAGAAAAGAGATGAAACAGAGGCAATGGCTGTGAATGCAGTAAGGAGTTGGGAGACAGACGAAAACAGGTAAAACATCAAAAGCAAACTGCAAGAACTCATTATTGGGATCATTAGTGCTTGAGACCTATCCAATGTAATGGTTGCTTCAGACAAGTCAAGATTCCTCTCCATTTCTTTCCCATAATTTAAAGCACGAAAAGCAGACCCAAATGTCACGGCCACTGCTGTCACTATAAGGGTAACAGGTGCAGGCTCCAGCAAATATAAAAGCTTCCACAAGGTCTCCATGACAAAGAATGAAAATCTTTCAAATCAATTATCTCAAACCAGTCTTTTGTACATACAAAAAAACCAAAAGCCTGGCCACCAATTTTGCATTCAAAGTTGCATCCTTGGTCCCGTGAACACTTAAAAAAAGATATTCAAGGAACCAGTAAAACAGTCCGGTCCTGTCAAAACAAAAGTAAGTGACCACAGAAATAAGAACAATTCAAGATTCTAAAGCATGCATCAACAAATTCCTATTTCCCAGAAAGTAAAACCACAGAAATAAGAACAATTCAAGATTCTAAAGCATGTATAAACAAATTCCGATATCCCAGAAAGTAAAATCTAGACACGAAGATGCAGAAACAGCAGTTCCCTATTCCACATTTTTTGTTCCCAGCCAGAGCTACAGCGCACAACTTAAATAGAACAGGCATAAAACCTAAAAGAAATCGACAATTCCCACTTTTTTTCTCTTCCCTGGCTTAAATTTCTTATCACAAGAAAGGTCAACCGGCATGAAAAATCCCATCCAAATGAACACCAAGCAAGCACATTTCACTCCCGGTCAAGCTTCCAATACAAAACAAAACCAAACATTCACACAACAAATATTCTGAAATCCTAATTTCTTTCCCAAAACAAACAAGGTAACAGTAACCTCTAATGAGCTGAGCTGAGCGAAGCACAATTATGCTGCCTATTTAACTTCAGTTTTTCATTTTCTATAAAAAACCTTTTGAAACAAACAAAAAGACTCAAACTTTTTCATCATCTCAAAAAATTTAAACATTCCAAACACAAAATTTTAACAGCAACCAAACTATTGGCTATGAACTCAAAACCACTCAGATGTAGAGCTTACAAGCAAAGAAATAAAAGTAAAAAAATCAAATAGATATAAAATTTACAACAAAAGATCTGAACCCAGAAGAAATTTCAAGATGGAAAATCAGGTTTCGAGAGAAAGGAGTAACCTTGAACTTTTGAAGAGGCTGGAGAGTCTCGCCCTCTCTCAGTCTATCGTCACAGTTTTCTGTCAGAGCTGCCTGAAACCGTACACCAAAGCAGAAACAAAATTACGCTTATTTGCAAAACAGCCCCAGTCGTTTTTGTTTTTGTATATTGGTACTGGTGTGTGCTTGGGCTCAAGAGACCCGTTTCTGTTTGTTATGTTACGGGCCGAAGTCAGTTGAAGACAAGTTATACAACCATGTTTTTTAAGAATTTATTTTTGTTTTGGATTCAAATTATTTTTATTATTTTTATGTAATTAACTTAGCTAATCTTATTTTTAAATATATATTTTAAATTAATCATGGGAAAAAATGAACAAAAAAGTGATCAAACATTGTAGCTAGGTTCTATTTGTTTATTGTTTGTGCTTAAATCTTCTCTTAGCAGAGTACCAATCAATTGTTAATGTCACTCACAAGGTGGGCAATAATTTCAACAGCATGGACCTCTTCTTCACCTTTCCAATACAGGCAGAAAGTATTTGAAATTATGGTAAATATTTTTTTTAAGGATATAGTGAACCTCAAAATTAAATAAACACACTGTAGCTCAGTTAAAATTACGAGAAAAAACGGTGATATTTTAATTTATATATTGCCTATTCAATTAAATAAAAAAGTTTAGTTTTCACCCGTGACTTCACTATTTTATAAAATATTGTTTTTGAAATGAGCTAATTTACTATATATATATTTTTTATTTATAAAAAAAACCATTCCAGCACAGACACCAACTTTCTCTTCCTAAATCTAAAGTTTGTTGAGTAGTCTAACCGATCAAATTACTTGAAAAACGTAATGTTCACCAAACCAAACCAAATCCATGATTCATCACCAGTTCACACACCAGATAAAGAATGGTGTTTGTCTTCCCTTTCAAGATTCTATGATCGTAAGGATAGCTCATCAATCTGTCGATGGGTCTCATTTACCGGGTTTGGTCATTTCCTTTCCTCTCTTACATAATTGGTTGCTATGTCTCGTTCACGACATGAATATATAATGCACGAGTTGGAGCCAGCATTATATCTACCCGATGTCCCTCCTCTTTCATATCATTTCATTTCATTTCCTTTCAATGCAAAAAACGCACTGCTAACGTTCAAGATTCATCTTGATTAGTTTCTAGAGGATCGAGCACCCCATTTCACCTTGCATAGCTCCTGATCTCTTGGCCTCCACCATTCAAGATGGAATTAGCAGTAGCCATGCTATTAATACTGCTGAGTTTAGCATCGTGGTGCGTGCTTTCAGAGGGCCGGCTTCTTGTGGACATGACTCTGGTTTCGGATGCTTCCAACATTGGTGCCTGTAAGCTTACAGTATTAATTTCTTCTTATTGTCTTATTGATATATTATCATGAGTAGTTCTTTATTTATGACGGAATCATTAATCAGTAGTTTGTTACTAACCCTTGTCTTCTTCTTCTTCTTCTTCTTCTTTTGCTGGTGAATATTATTTATTCTTAGTTTGCTTGGATGGAAGTTTGCCTGCGTATCATCTGCACAGAGGATTCGGAGCTGGTGCAAGCAACTGGCTTTTGCAATTTGAGGTAATTATATCCTCATGCTATTAGAAGGACATGTCTAGTCTAGTCTAGTCTGAATTGATGAATGAACTACAAGAACGAAAAAAAGGGGTCAATACCGAAGAAAATTGGTTTACAGAAACTTTCCAAAGAGAATGCAGGCCAGGCAGGCAGTTCTTTGGTGCTGAATACACAGTGACTTTAGGGGTGAAGATGTGTTGACCTAGCTTGGTTAAGTTTTATTAGGAAACCAATACGCGACAAGGTGTCTCGTCAATCAACTTGCACTTCACTTTATTTATTACAGCCCATTTTAGAGTCCCTGTAGATTCATGGCCTGGATTCGTCTGCTAAATTAGGACAGTTATGTAATTGCCACATTTATTCCCGATGTCATGTTCTTCGATAAAATTTAACTCTCTAGATTGTCTCTTATGTGACCCCAATGCCACCCCTACCGAACGAATCACGCCAAAAGAAGTTGGAAGAACCGCAAACGATGCACCAAACAGTACGTTCCACGGACATGGTCCCCAAAAGAACTGGTCCAATGCTTGTCTATATTCCAAAACTTTTAACCTAAGCAAAGACTTTGATTGTAATAACCAACAGTCTCCGTTATTACATCGTCGTTTTTGGTTTGGAGGTTAGGCGGTAGCATGATTACTATTATATGGCTGTAATGGTGGCTAGACAAAAAGAGTTGGTGTCATTACGTTCACTTTTTATGTTCTTACTTGCTGTTCAAGATCTTCCCTTGAATCGATTAAACATAGGAACCATTCACAGCAAAGATATTAGATGAGACTCTGTAAATGTCTTATATTATAGTGATCAGTTGCAGAACACGGACACGTAAAATGTAGGTAGCCTCGATGCGAAACAATTGTCCTGAAACCTTTTTTAGTCACCTGGTTAGGCTAGTGGGATCCAAAATCGTGAAATCACTAACCAGAATCTTAACAATAAGTCAAGTATGATGTGATCTTGACAGGGAGGTGGGTGGTGCAATGATATACAATCATGCTTGGATCGAGCCAAAACGAAGCATGGATCTAGCCTTTACATGAACAAGTTGGAGGATTTCAATGGAATCCTAAGCAACGATGCCTCACTTAATCCAGGTAATTATTCACCTTGTAATCCCACTCCAATGGCCCATTTTTAAGTTCACAGAAATCTAGTACATATATGTGTATGACATGCCCGTGTTCCTCCTCATTCTGTCTTTGCCTTTTTTTTTTCACGTGATCCTATAGTATTGAAGGACAGCTTCTGCCTTCACTGAGCCCTTTCTTGTCTTTGAATATATATATATATATATATATATAGAGAGCCTAATTTATTGTCTTCAAAGGTTATAACTTGAAAGGACGTGTGGGAATCTTCTATAATGTCTTCAAGCCTCTACTATTTTAATGCCTTTTTATCTTATTATTAAGGTTCTGTGTCTTGTTACTAGCAGCTTGCACACCCGTTTAACTCATATTTTTTTAAAATTTTAATTTTTTTAGTTTAAAATTAATATTTTTAGATTGTTTTATTGATATCAAAAATAATTTTTTTAACATAAAAAATATTATTTTAATATATTTTTAAATAAAAATTATTTTTAAAAGTAACCACAACTATAATTTTAAATACATATTTAATGTTGTTAATGAGGATGCTTGGAAATTTGGAATTATGTTCCCTTAAATTTTAATTTTTTTAAAATAATTTTTTTATATTTTAAAATTATTTTGATATACTAATGTCAAAAATAATTTTTTATTTAAATATATTTCTAAAAAAAAACATTTTAAATTGTTATTGTTATTACAATCCCAAATCCATTTAAAAAAGATAGATATAAAATGGATAAAAATACATTTATTATAAAAACAAAGAAAAAAACACAAGAATAAATATATTTCAAAATAATTTTGAAATTAATTTCTGTTTTTTTAATGAAAATAAAAAACAAGAATATGTTCACTGGTCTCTTCGTCTCGATATAAAAAGTAAACACTACCTAATATTAGTAACATAATTTGACACAAAAAGAAAACTCTAAATGCTAAATATTAACATGATATTTAATAAAGCAGTGGTGGACCTGGTGGTCGGAGTCTTGATCAAGTATGTAAACAGAAGAGCTATCAACACTGATGAGAGATTTAATAACATGATGGACTTTGGTGCTGTCTTCTGCTCAAGAAACATAAAATCCACTGCCCCAATGATTAATTAAAAGACAATACTCGCACCTCAATCTCATTTGGATTTACAATTTTTTTTTTTTTATACTTTGTGTTTATATATAATGAAGGCACACCACAAATTTGCTCACAGTTGACTCGTATTCAAAACCAGACCGTTCTAAATATTAAGGACTTGTAAAACCCTTATGGCTATTCTTTCTTGATTGTGTTTCCAGTCCTTGGTGTTCTGATGAGGCCTGGAACTGCCATATTTAGTCTGAGTGTGTGACATTGTAAATCTTCTGTGTTGATCTCCAGAATGACTGTAATGAAAGTTACCAGGAACAAAGGCAATTCCTTGTCGTCAGGAGATTAATTTAGTGTTGTTTATTCTTGCAAATTAACCATTCAATATGCCCTTTTTTTTATCAGATTTTTATAATTGGAACCGTGTGAAGCTTAGATATTGTGATGGAGGTTCGTTTTCTGGAGATGCCAAATTTGACAATGGGGTATCTCTCCACTCTCACCTAAAACTTTCTCCTCTTTATTATATCTTGTCGGATTTAGAATAAAAAAGGCCATTGAAGCTTACACATGCTAAAATCTCAGGAAATAAATTATGTTAATCTTTCTTAGGTGGTAGTATGCAGCATTCAACTGAATCTTGTTTGCTGCACAAGTTCTGTGAAATCAAACATCAGAAATTAACAATATGGCCTGCTGGGATCATGGTGTAGTGTGGCTGTTTCAGTTTCACAAATTAAAAGAAATCGATTGCCATTTTGTGCGTGTGTTCATGTTTTGATGAGTATCAACATTGTTCTTTGAGATAACTAGAGCTTAGCTAATTGAATGCAGAAAAGAGGCACATAGATTGTTCGTCATACATGAAATTCTTATGTGAACTGTTGAGTGCATTGTCTCACAAGATGTGTAAAGTGAAATGCAAAGAGTTGTGCAGGATAGATTTCTGATGATGGACTTGTGAGCAAACATCCTATGAGTGAGGCGGTGATTTATTATTATGTGCTGTGCTTTACTAGAAAAAGACTCAAGTGTTCATGAGTTTAATTAACTCTCATCCTTCTTCGTGTGCATGACTGTGGAACAGACATCAGTCCTTTACTTCAGAGGACAAAAGATTTGGGAAGCAATCATTCTTGATCTCCTCCCCAAAGGTTTGGGGAATGCAGACAAGGTAAAAATCTCTTTTTGAATATTTTGTTTTGAGTAGACTAATTGTCTCCTGGTTCAAATCATCCCGGAAGCGAAAATGTGATCTTTTCGGTCGTACTTTGGTTATAGTTTCGAGCAATCATTCCGTCTCTTCTCCAGGCTTTGCTTTCAGGTTGCTCTGCTGGGGGTTTATCATCCTTTCTCCACTGCGAAAACCTTTACCGGGCATTACCGACGAATACCAGTGTGAAATGCTTGAGCGATGCTGGATTTTTTTTGGATGAGTAAGCTTGCTCTTTCTGATATGAAAGTGCAGGATAATTTCTCTCTCTCTCTATTATTTATGTTTTCGTATCTCCTGTTCTTGTTCTCACAGAAGAGACATCACTATGAACTACACCATGAGGACCTTCTTTGAAAACCTTGTTTCTCTACAGGTGCAACTTTCTGAAATCTGTGTTCCATTGCGTTTGCTGTGTTTATATTTTGAACTGTTCTCTGCAGGGAATTGAAAAGAATCTGGATAAAACCTGCACTAGTTTCCTTGACAATCCAAAACTGGTATTTCCTTTATTAGGGCCTCCTGTTTAACTTTTCGGTCTGTTTTTGCTGCTGCTTCTTGATGCTGGCTGAGATGGTTATGGCATTTGTCTTGTGTTTGTGCAGTGCATGTTTCCACAGTATTTCTTGAATTACATGACAACACCGTTCTTCATCCTGAACACAGCCTATGATGTATACCAAGTAATTTATTCTTCGGCCTTCATTAATCTGTAATGACATAGCAACAGGAATCTTAGATTCACCATCTTTTTTTGTAAGTTCATAACAATAAAGCATGATTGAAACTGCAAAATTTAACAGTTCCATCATGCATTGGTTCCGCCCTCTGCTGACATGAATGGAGACTGGAAGCGTTGCAAGCTTAGCATAGCATCATGTACTCCAAAGCAGCTTGACATACTGCAAGGCTGGTCTCTTCTCTGGCATCAGCCGTCCTGGATTTCTAGCCTAGTGTTTTCCTATTATATAATCTAATTGGTAATTACTATGTGATGGAAACATCTTGTATCCAGGTTTCAGGGGTGATATGCTGGCGGCATTGAGTTCATTTCTCAAGGATTCCACAAGCGGGGGAATGTTTATAAATTCATGCTTTGCTCATTGCCAAAGTGAGACACAAGAAACATGGTTTGCACTTGGCTCCCCGAGTATCCAGGATAAGGTACATCGCTTCCATTACATTACACCTGTTACATTCTATAAAAATCATTGTGCACTTGCTTTAAATCCAGGGCATGTTTTATCTGCTCAAGAATTGTGCCCAGATCACTTGAATCATCGAAAATCCTAAAACCGGCAATGTTTTATGTAAAGGTTACTGCAACGATTTCGACATACAATGTCTCATGTTTCCCTCTCTCTCTAGTTCATTCTACTTGTAGAACATAAACTTTTTGGTACTGTGAGTAAAAAATCTCGAGGACGTTTCACAGACTATTGCAGAAGCAGTCGGTGATTGGTATTTTAGTAGAAATATAAGCAAGTTAATCGACTGCGCGTATCCTTGCGACGCTTCCTGCCATAACACCATTGCACAGGTATGTAATTTCCTCATGACCTCAGAAGATATATTTATTATCATTGGAAGATCACTTGGTGTTCTTGTTGCTAAGGTGCAAATGTTGCTGGTTTCCTAGAAGGGCAAGATATAGATGAAATACAGAGATTTTTACAGGCTTCATTCCTTGAACTCTGGAGATATTAGAAAGAAAAGGAAGAGTATACAGAAGGGATACTGGAAGGAAGTGCAGAAAACAATGGAGGGAGTTCACAGCATTTTTTTTTACTAAACAGTCTAGAGAACCAATCACCTGCATATAGGAAACCAGTGTAAAACGTGGTGGTCCACTCTAGTCGCTATTATTATCGATTTTTTTATTTTTTTATAGCTAAATTTATTAGAATGATATGAATTTCAGTGTACCGTTTCATTCATTCATTTCTTTCATTTCCTTTCCTTTTTCTTTTTTAGAATTTATGTTATTTTATTTTATTTTATTTATTTATTTATTTATTTAAAATATCATGTTTTCTGGCTGTCATTTTATAAATAAAGTTGCATTTTCACTTATAATTTTCATCAAACTACATAATTTTTCAAAAATTAATTTTCACTTATGCTAATTTGATATTTTCTTCAGAAAAAAATACCCAAAATGATTTTTTTTTTTAAATTTAGTAATTTTCCATATGTTGCCCTACCAAGCCATCTTGTCAATTGCAACACACTGTCCAAATTGATGATTGGTACCCATCAGCATATGCTTTTATAATTTGACATGTATCTACTTTCTTCATTAGGAATTACGAAAGCAATTTGAATTTAATTTAAAATCATTAAGAAGATAAAAAATAAAAATAAAAATAAAAATTACCTCTTGGACCCACCTAATGAGTTTTGTGACTTTACAAGTCATTACAATTACATGTAAGGACAAACATAGTAATTTCAACCACATCCAAACATTCTGCCACCCAATCCACATCCTAACCCAGCACAAAAGTCCACCCATATACCATCATCCTATCACTTCACCACTCAGCAGGTGGCACTCTATCACCTCCCCGCCGTTCCCCCCTCCTCCTTCCACCACCACTACTGTAGCCGCCCCCGAAAATTCCCAAAATACCCTTTTAAAACACTAACTAAAAAGTAAAAAAAAAAAACCCCTATATTTTATCTAACCATGCAAATTAGCCCATTATATAACACACCCATCAATTGGGCCAACAAAACCCCATTCTTTTTACATTATCTACTTATAAACAAACCCAACAGAAAGCTCTTTCAAAGCAGGAGGAGGAGACCATACTTTAACACTAGCAGAAGTAATATTAGTAGAAGTGGTGTTTTTTTCGAAGGGATGCCTACCGATTCAATTTACAAAACATCTGGTGGTTATGGTGGTGGTGATGAGAACGGGTCTCTGAGGAATTTCAAGCTGAATGAATCAACTTTTTTGGCTTCTTTGATGCCTAAGAAAGAGATTGGTGCTGATCGCTTCATTGAAGCTCACCCTCAATATGATGGCCGTGGTACCATCATCGCTATCTTTGGTATACTTCAATATGGAAAGAACCTTTCTTTTCTTTTTGCTTATAGTAATAAAAAAAATAATTGCTTTCTGTCATTATTATTAAGAATTGATTGACAGGAAAAAACCCTTTTTTCTTATTCTGGCTTTGTGCCTGTGGGATATAAAGATCATGACTTTGTAGTTTGTAAGGATTGGTTGAATTCATGGTTTAGATTCTGGAGTTGACCCGGCTGCTTCTGGATTACAAGTGACATCAGATGGGAAGCCTAAAGTGCTTGATGTTATTGATTGGTGGGTTTAAAAATTTGAAACAATTGGTGGTTTTTTACTGGACCCGGTAATCTTAATGTTGCTATTTCGTTGGTAGTAATATTGATGTTTGAGATTTTTTTGTGTTCTATGAAGCACTGGGAGTGGAGATATTGATACTTCAAAAGTGGTGAAGGCTGATGCAAATGGTTGCATACAAGGAGCTTCAGGTCTGGTTTGGCTGTTCATTCATTTGCTAGAATCATAAACGATTTACTTATTTCTTTGTGCGTGTCAAACCTTTTGACGCTGTTAATCATTGTATATGCTAAGATTTGCAGTAGCCTTTTCAATCCTGTGCTGTTTTTTTTTTTTTTTTTTTGAAAATAGGGGCTTCTTTGGTTGTCAATTCTTCATGGAAGAATCCTTCTGGTGAATGGCACGTGGGTTATAAGTTTTTATTTGAGCTACTTACTGGCACATTGACTTCCCGTTTGAAGGTAAAGCAATATAATTTTCAACTTAAAAAAAAGATCTCAAGCATTCATTAATCTCACTAAGAAGAAAAATCTATGCTTTCTACCTTTTTTCTGACAGAAAGAGAGAAAAAAGAAGTGGGATGAGAAAAACCAAGAAGAAATTGCCAAGGCTGTAAAGCATCTGGATGAATTCAACCAGGTTGTGTGAACATTTGCTTCTGCATTTATCTGTGGCATGTGTCTTAGCCATCAAAAACTGTATATGTTATTTCATTCATATTTCAGGCGTGTATTAAACAATATAATTTTTCTGGTTTCCACGTACAAACTTACCATCCAAAAAAAAAAAAAAAGATAAAAGTTTCCCTGGAGGGCCACATTTGTTGTATCCAATGAATTAAAATGAAACTCAAATCAGCACTTGAGATGTAGTGGACTGTTTTGTGCTGAGGCGTTGATGCTCCCATGGCACATTTATCTGTATTCTTGCATAATTCTCTCAAGATATGCTTATCTCCAGAAACACTCCAATCCAGAGGACGCAGACTTGAAAAGGGTTCGTGAAGATCTTCAAAACAGAATTGATTTACTACGGAAACAGGCTGATGTGAGTGCCTGATTCTTTTCATCCATTCCTCTCCTGAATCTTATTTTGTTTTCCTGAAATGCAAATCTCTTTTCTGTGTTTTAGATTTATGATGACAAGGGGCCTATTATAGATGCTGTTGTATGGCATGATGGAGAGTTGTGGAGGGCTGCTCTTGACACACAGAGTCTTGAGGATGACTCAGATTGTGGAAAGCTGGCTAACTTTGTACCCCTTACAAATTATAGGTATGTTATAGTAAGAATTTCATTATATTTATCTGCCCGAAGATGCTTTTCATCTTTCCAGACTTTGTATATGCAGATCAAATCTTTTGAAGATTATGCTCTGTGGATTATAGTTCATATGTTTACAATTGATTTTGTCATAACTTTGTTCATCATTTGTAGTGTAGAGGGAAAGGCATCCTTGTTGAACTATAAGCTGTTAGGAGTTTACTTTTACACAGCATGCTTTAGTTTGCTTAAGTTTCTCATCTACATGTTTTAAAAGAATTAGAGAATGCAAGCTTTACTCCTCCTGCTTTTGCAAATGTGCACACACACATTGTAATGGACACTTTGATGGTACCCTTACATGGGTTACCTATTTTGGTTTTGATAAAAAACTTGGCTTCTGACCTGTCATCGGTTGCATTCTCAAGCTTTTGAGGAATTTTAAACAAACAGCGCTGCTCAGATCTTGAAAACTTTGTTAGTTTTAGCAATTGCTAACCTTGGAAAGAGTAATGAAATAATTATATGATCTGGATACCTAACTAGTTCCATGGTAAATGCTCTTTCAGGATTGAAAGGAAGTATGGTGTTTTCAGCAAGTTAGATGCCTGCACATTTGTTCTTAATGTTTATAGTGATGGGAACATCTTATGTATTGTAACGGATAGCTCTCCTCATGGAACCCATGTTGCGGGTATTGCTACAGCCTTCCACCCAAAGGTATTGCTGTTTAAGTCCCTATTGCTTTCCTTTTCGCTTTCTTTCTTTCTTTTAGAAATGACTTGATGTCTGTCATTTTCATCTATATCAGGAGTCATTATTGAATGGAGTTGCACCTGGGGCACAGTTGATATCTTGCAAAATTGGCGCCACACGATTAGGTTCAATGGAGACAGGCACTGGCTTGACACGGGCCGTAATAGCTGCTGTGGAGGTGCGTATAATTTATTTCTTTTCACGTCATGACCAAAATGCTAGCTGAACATATCCTTGCAAGAGGAGATTGCCAGCTCAAGTTCCCTTGCCCCAAAAGACCCCCCCTGGCGCAGGGGGGGGTGGCAGATTATTATTATTATTATTATGTTTGTGTGCCTTGACTAAATGGACTTTTTTTTCGCAGCATAAATGTGATCTCATCAACATGAGTTATGGGGAACCTACATTACTACCAGATTATGGCCGCTTCGTTGACCTTGTTAATGAGGTATCAAATCTAAACCTTGCAAATTCAGCTTTGATAATTGTTGATCTTCTTCCTGTATTTATTCTTTCATGTTCTTATATGCGACGGGTTACTGTTTCTTTAATTAGGTGGTGAACAAGCACCGTATTATATTTGTAAGCAGTGCTGGCAACAGTGGTCCAGCATTAAGTACTGTTGGTGCTCCTGGTGGTACAAGTTCAAGCATTATAGGAGTTGGTGCATATGTCTCTCCTGCAATGGCTGCAGGTGCTCATTGTGTTGTTGAACCTCCTGCCGAGGGACTTGAATACACTTGGTATATTATTTTACTTTTGCCTGACTCTAGCCTTAAGTTTTTGTTTGCTTGTGAATACTTTGTAATTCATTGAAATGGGATGTAGGTCAAGCCGAGGACCAACTTCTGATGGAGATCTTGGAGTAAGTATAAGTGCTCCTGGAGGGGCTGTTGCTCCTGTCCCTACCTGGACACTTCAAAAACGCATGCTGATGAATGGAACATCAATGGCCTCTCCATCTGCTTGTGGTGGAATTGCATTACTTATCAGTGCAATGAAGGTTCTTGTTTATCATTCTATTTCTTCTTACCCTCTTTCTGTCCTTGTTGCATGGCTGGATCTATGTTGTCAGTGCTAAATTAAATCTTCTATTGGGAACTTCATTTGTGCAGGCTGAGGGTATTCCTGTAAGTCCATACAGTGTAAGGAAGGCCCTTGAGAATACATCTGTTCCTGTAGGTGAATCGCCAGCTGATAAGTTATCCACAGGACAGGGGCTTATGCAAGTTGACAGGTAAGGTTTTCTTCCTATTTCTTTTTTCCTTTACAATTGTCAGCTGTGGTCTGTCTTAACTGTTTGTTGCATGACAGGGCACATGAATATGCAAGGCAGTCCCGGAATATTCCATGTGTTTGGTATGAAATAAAGGTCAATCAATCTGGAAAAACAAGTAAGTACCAGTGATGTCTGCCAACTCCACACAACATGCAAACACCTGACT